ATTAAAAAAAAAAGAACAAAACTCACTACTTGTCACCATGGCAGATGGAGAAAAGATTGAAGTTGTCAAGAATTTAATTTTACCTGGATCCACAATTACTACTTATGGAAACAGTTAAGAACTCTGATGTATTGCATTGGATGAATCAACTGTCAAGTATCTCTCTAAAGTGCTGACGAGCAGTAATATCTGTTTAGAGAAAGGTTTCCATCTGTTGTTCATAGGGTTGACACAACTAGTAACTGACTTGATGACATCCAACACACAGAGCAATTAATTCATTCTAAAATTTCTTTGTCTTCTGCAGTTTTATAACTACACTATGATTGCTTCAGTTGCTCCTGTGTGATTTACAGCCCCTGAAAACCCACTAGTGGGTCAGCTAAGGGTTCACTGATTCATGGCATACAAGAAGACCATAATTATACTTTGTGTATTTTAATGTCAGTGTCAGCTTGTGAATGACATTGTTGTGTATGTTAATTTTGGGTAAATGTCTATAGTTGCTGGCTTTCTAACTGAAGAAACTTCTTTAGTTTTTCTTTCAAGGCTAGTGCAGTTTTCACAAATTTTCTTAGTTTGTTTATCTGGAAATGTCTTAATTCACTGTCATATCTGAGAGTCAGTTTTTGCTACCTGATGTCTTGACAGCTGCTTCCATTGTACAGACTATGGATTTAAGGAAACAAAAATTTTTACCACTTCAATCTTTTCTCAGTTCAAAGTGTTTCCTATTGGTCCACTTGTGAGGAGTTTTGTTTATGATGAGATGCACTCCTACTAAAGGCTGTAATTGTTGACTTTCAACACAAAGCACTTAGGAGTCTTCTGGACTGTCAGGAAGTAAGGTAATGCCACCTAAATATCCCAAGTTGTTGATGACTCTTCTTCCTAAACTGAGTTCTTCATATATTCAGCGTCCTAGATCCTTTGCTCAGCGTAAAGATATAAAACATACGTGAAAGGATACAACAGTGATGCCCATTTTTCTTGATTTTAAGCTATGTGGTATCTGATTGCAGTGCCTGAATAACTCCTTTGTTCTATGCACAGGTTCTACATAAGCACAACTCAGTGCTCTGGAATGCCCACTTCCCACACAATTACCCATCATTTTCTATGAGTCACACAGTTAAATTTTTTAATTTTCCACTTTTTCACTGACTGCTATAATAAAGATGGTGAAGAGACTGAGATTGTTGACAGTTTCAGCTTCAGTTTGCTTGACACTACAATCAACACTCTTGGTATCAGCAGCCAGGAAATGCGATGGGAAAGTCTGCTGTCAGAGACCTCTCCAAAGTACTGAAGAGCAAAGATGTCAGTCTGGAGACTAAGGTGCACCTGATACAGGCCATGGTCT